CAACGAGTTATCCCCCCCCCCCCCCTTGTTGTCACAATTGGGAAAATACACAACGCCATATAAGCTAGGTTTATGATTTCATTACGTCAGTGCTCTGAAGGTGGGGGCGGGACTCCTCCGTATAAGCAAAGTGCACACAATAGTTCTTACTCTGTATCTATGACAACGAATAGGAACGTTTTGCTGTCTTGCAGTAACAGTTTAATAAATATAAGTTCACCTTCTCGAATGAAGCAGAGTGCAGGGAGCCTTCAGGTAATACTGGTGACTAGTGCGTTGCCCTGTGCTTGCCTTTTATGGGTCCGGCTTTCACAGGTCCTCTTTATAATAGGTTTTGGGTAGGGTTGCAAAATACAGGATGCAGGCCCGGGTCTACAAAGACAGAACCGCACTGGTGTCAAACCCACGTCACATGTAAGTAGGGATGCACCGATACTAGTATTGATGCTTGCCGAGTACTCGCCCAAATGCTCCGATGCCTAGCCCAATACCCAAACTTCCGGGATCAGGAAGCCGGGCAGCCAGTCATAACACAGTGCCCGGCTTTCTGATTGGCCGGGAAGTCGGCTCTCTGCTCCCTTGTCATTTGTGACGAGGGAGCATGGAGTCGGCTTCCCGGACAATCAGGAAGCCGGGTGGCGAGTCATTACACGCCCCCCCCCCGACTTTCTGATTGGCCAGAAAGCCGGCTTCGTGCTCCCTCATCACCTGATGACGAGGGAGCATGGAGACGGCTAATCGGGAAGCTGGGTGGCGAGTCATTACACGCCGCCTGGCTTCCTTAATGGGACTTCCGGTATCGGTATTTGCTAACACGTCCCCCGGCTTTCTGATTGGCCAGAAAGCCGGCTTCATGCTCCCGCGTCACTTGTGACGCGGGAGCATGGAGCCAGCTTCCTGGCCAATTAGGAAGCTGGGCATCGTGTAATGAGCGTTGCCCAGCTTCTTGATTGGCCAGCTTCTCGACCATTCAGGAAGCCAGGGGAAAGCGCCATTACAAAAACCGCACTGGTCTCAAACCCACGTCACATGTAAGTAGTGATGCAACGATACTCGTACTCGCCCAAATGCTCCGATGCCTAGCCCGATACTTAAGGTTCCGGTATCAGGAAGCTGGGCAGCGTGTCATTACACGCCCTTCCACCCCCCTGGCTTTCTGATTGGCCAGGAAGTCGGCTTCATGCTGACGTGTAATGACTCGCTGCCTGGCTTCCTGATTGATCGGGAAGCTGGCCAATTAGGAAGCTGGACGGCGAGTTATTACATGCCCCCCGGCGTACTGCATTGCCCTGAAAGCCGGCTCCATGCTTTCTCGTCACCTGGTGAAGAAGGAGCATGGAGATGGCTTCCCTGCTAATGGGGAAGACAGGTGGCGAGTCATTAAACACCACCTGGCTTCCTTAATGGGACTTCCAGTATCGGTATTAGGGAGTACCAAAAAAAAAATATCGGTACTTGTACTCTATACCGAAAAAAACGGTATCGGTGCATCCCTACATGTAAGAATCTTCCAGGTCGGGTGCTTCACCTATCGGTTGTTTTATAGGAGGTTCCATCTCAGATCAAACAAGGAGCTCACAAACCATTGCAGACCGGTATGTAGGGCAGTGATAAAAATATACAGAGGGGGATTTATGGAAACAGGAGCAGCAGTGCACAGTAACCAATCAGCTTCTCTCTTTCATTTTCAAATCTTAACTGGAGAGAGAAGCTGATTGGTTGCCGTGGGCAACTGCTCCACTTTTGATAAATTTCCCTCAGAATCTTCAGAAAGGTCCTCAAAGAAATCCCGTATTGCTTCCAAGCTAGTGCGACAATGATGGTTCCATCAGGTTCCCCAAATAAAAGCGGATCTTCTCGTTCCAAAACTGAAGGACAAATCGACCGACATTGGACTTCAAGGACCTGGTCTGGGCCCGGCCCATTCAGTTATGCTGCGTGTGACTCCTAACATTCTCTATCTCAAGCAGCCATCTGCTTCAAGCGCTGGCCACGTCCCCTCACGACTCCTAATATTCTGAAAAGTTCTGATGTGCCGAGCCCGTACAGAACCATCCCGTACAGAACCACGATTGATGACAGCTTCAAGGGAGTCCTGAGTTCCTGCTGACCAGCGTTAAGGTGCCCGTACGATAATGGTATGCGATCGGTTTTTCGTACGATAATCGAGCAGTGTGAACGTTTCTACTGTACGGTCGCACGTCTTCTGTCGAACCAGCATGTTCGAAAACCAGCCGGGAATCGTACGATTCTCGGCTGGTTAGAACGGTGCTCGGAAGACAAATGCCGAACGGGCCGGTGTGCGCACGCGCACACTGCCCGTTCAGCATTGCGGTCATCGGAAGCCCGCCCCTCAGGGGGGCGGGCTTGCGATGATCGAGAGTGCGATCTGCCTGTCCAAGATAGGCAGATCGTACGTTTTTTTAATCCCTTTACAACCATCGCAAGACTAAGGTCTTGCGATGGTTGTACAGTGTATGGCCACCTTTAGTCCCAGAATCCTGCTGCACTGCCTACCGGAGATCCCAATAAGCATGGGTGCTCGGAATGACTGCCCATCCTGATGAAGGGGGCCCTGCGTGGCCCCGAAACGTTGCATGTATGCTTTGACAACATGCGTCATTAAACAGACGTTTGCTTTATTCTACTTCCGGGTGCTGGTGTCACCTCTGATAAGGTCTGCTGACCAGAAGTAGAACGGTCATCATCCCTCCAGCTCTTCAGCCATTTCAAATGCTGGCGAAGTCACAATGGACGCGGCTCCTTGATGTTTACGTTTTAGCTTCCTGCAGAATCAGCTGGTCCCCTGAGCACTGATCCTGTTTTGGGGTGACTCCTTACCCCTGCAGAGTCCTATGGAGCCACCCTTGTGTGTGCTACTAAGCTGCGTGTTTCTCCACAAACACACAGGCACAGCAAGGCAAGACAACCCCCTAACACTTTCTCCATGCCAGTAGATGGGCAGTTGTTGGAGTCTGTGCTCTCACATGTGATCTTGTACCGGATGGGAAATAGAGGGAAGCCGAGCTGAGAGAGTTGGAGCTGTCTGGAAACATGATGGCTGTAGGTGCTTGGAGCAAAATCTGGATTCATTATGCTAAAACAAGTCTGAGCGCTTAATACTATTGCAGGCTCCCTTAGGGTGAGTGACAACCTAAATCCTGCAGGAACTGCCCCCTTAATAAAGGACACCCATTGCTACGTGCCCATGTTCAGCTGCCTCATTGTGACTCGGGGACCTCTGGTAATCTGTGGGAAGCTATATGCGAGAGGAGGGTGGCTTTCCTCGTGAACTGTTTTCCGCACCTGCTGCATGAAAATGGCTTTTCTCCCGTGTGCGACCTCTGGTGCGAAATGAGGCTTCCTTTCCGGGTGAAACATTTTCCGCACTGAGCGCAGGAATACTGGCGGTCGCTCATGTGGACGACCTGATGTACGGCTAGATGGGACTTGTCGGTGTAGCTTTTCCCGCACTCCGAGCAGGAGAACGGCCGTTCTCCCGTGTGAGTCCTCTGGTGGGAAATGAGAGTCTTGCTATGGGTAAAGCTTTTCCCGCATTCCAAACAGGAAAATGGCTTCTCGGCCGCGTGAGTCCTCTGATGGGAGCGGAGGCCTTGTCTCTGGGTAAAACGCTTCCCGCACTTAGAACAGGAGTACGGTTTCTCGGCTGTGTGAGTCCTCTGGTGGGATATGAGGTTTCCCCTCTGGGAAAAAGACTTCCCACATTCCGGACATGAAAACGGCTTCTCTCCCGTATGGATTCTTTGGTGAGTGAGAAGATTGACCTTCTCTGTAAAACTTTTCCTGCACTCAAGACAGGAATAGGGCTTTTCCCCCGTTTGGAGTTTTTTGTGTTTAAGAAGAGACGTCTTCCGGGGAAAACGCTTCCCACACTCTGGACACGAATGGGGCTTCTCTCCCGTGTGAGTCTTCTGGTGGACCAGCAGTTTTCATCTGGAGACAAAATATTTGCCGCACTCAGAACACAGGTACATCTTACCCCCGGTACAAGCTGTATATGGGGTGACAGGATGGGGGCCATGGTGAAGACACCCCCCGAGCGATGAGACAGCCGAAGTGACATCTCCGTTGTTAATTACAGGATGGAGATCTAGAATAATGGTGCTTTCTGCTGGAGGACTGGACGGGAGGTCACCGTCTTCCGGAGTCAATATAGGAGCGCGCCGCGCCGTGTACACTGGGTATCGTCTACCTGGAGGAGAGGAAAGAAATACCGATCCTCAGGACAGAGAGAAGTACTCAGATGTTACGTTTAGGGATGTGCTTGGTGTGAACGTATACATCCAAACCTGCACAGAAGCGTCAGTGACACACCCACACCCCCCAGTCCAATCAGCTGCGGCCAGGGCCTTCACAAAAAGAAGAATACAAGCCTGCAATGAGATCCATCAAACATGTAAGGCAGACATTCTCAACCAGGGTGCCTTCTGACTTTTTCAGGGGTGCCTTCAAATTTTAATGAAGGGGACTCTGATGTGTAGAGGGACTTCTGACGTGAAAGGGGCAGACTCTGATGTGAAGGGGGCTCCTGATCTATAGGGAAGGGGGGACGTCTGATGTGTAGGGGAGCTTCTGAAGTGAAAGGGGCAGGCTCTGATGATAAGGGGGCTCCTGATCTATAGGGAAGGGGGGGGCTTCTAAGGGGAAAGTGACTCCTCTTGTGAAGGGGCGATTTCTGATGTGTTGGGGACAACGTCTGATGTGAAGAGGCTTCTGATGTAAAGGGGTGACTTCTGATGTGAAGGGGACTCTTCTCTGGATTTGGTGTTTATTCCTCACCTGTGCTGATCTCTGGAGAACGTTCCTCCTCCTTACACGGGTCATCACCACCCAGGTTCATCTCTTCCGCTTCCTCTTTCACTTCAACTTTCACAACAATCAAACTTTCACCCTGAATAATACAAAATAAGCCAAATATGACATACCGTATATACTCGAGTATAAGCCGAGATTTTCAGCCCATTTTTTGGGGTGAAAAGTGCCCCCCTCGGCTTATACTCGAGTCAGCGCCAGCGCGTCATCTTACTTACCTCGCCGAGCGTCGTGTCATTGCTGCTCCGGTGTGCGGCGCTCCGAGCGGGGTCATCTGGAAGTCTCCGGGTCCTAATTTAGGTGGCCGGAGACTGCCAGATG